CAAGGATGTAAGTTTTGTCACACGTGCACTAGGAAGGTGTAAGTTTTGTCACACGTTCACTAGTAAGGATGTAAGTTTTGTCACACGTTCACTAGTAAGGATGTAAGTTTTCTCACACGCACTAGTAAGCATGTAAGTTTTGTCACATGTTCACTAGTAAGCATGTAAGTTTTGTCACACGTGCACTAGTAAGGATGCAAGTTTTGCCACACATGCACCAGTAAGGATATAAGTTCACCACAGAGACAGTACCACTGATGAGGTATGTCTTTTTTTTTGTAAACATCTACTTTCTGCACAATAAGTATAGATTTTCATCTAATTTTTTATAAGTCACCTTGGGAATGTCAAAGATCCCTATTCATTTTGAGGTCAAAGGTCATCATATCAAGAATATTTTATATGAAAACTAATTTCCTAAACAGCCTGATTTTAATCAAACTTCATGGGATGGTAAACTACCCTAGTGATTTTAGGGTTAAATGGTCAAGATCAGTTCTTTTTAGAAAACAGGAACTTGGTTTCTGTACAAAAGAAATGTAGACCACCCACAAACACGTGTATTATACATATCATTATTCTGTTACTGTTTGATGCTTGTTCAGTTGGATGCATGGAAGAACTTTTCATTGATTTATGGTTTCTCAGATCAAAGGTCACTGATTTGCGCATTCAAGCTCTTTAGGATTTTGGTTAATGGATTTGAGTTTAATAGGCCTTTTAAATGAATATAACAAGATGGACAATAAATGTATTTGTTGTTTTGAAATGAAAACTAAACAGTAAGGATGTAAGTTTTCTCACACGCACTAGTAAGCATGTAAGTTTTGTCACATGTTCACTAGTAAGCATGTAAGTTTTGTCACACGTGCACTAGTAAGGATGCAAGTTTTGCCACACATGTCTTGTTTGTGTTACTTAATTTAAAAAAAAGTGGCTTCCTTTTTTAGAAGTTTTTTGGGTTCCAGGTTACTGTTATGATAAAACTGTAGAAAATGTGACTTAGCTGCATCAGAAACATGTTAGATGGCAGCTTAGTAATGTTTACCAGACGATGACAAAACCTTGTCGAAACGTTGTACATTTGCTGTTATTTTAAACTTATATTAAAGGTTTTCTTCATTACCCATTCAAGCCGTCTCCAGCCATTATTATATTCATAGGCAGTTTTAAATGCAGTAAAAGTCACCATCTACCATCCAAAACATCTGAAATGCTGTTTCCACCTGGGGCTTTCCTTTTTGAGGTCCATTAGCAGGAATATTCCTTTGTAACCTGTTGAGTTCCTCGACATCTCCCCAGACTCCTGATCTTTTGTATTTATCCACCTGCTGTACATATGAAAGCTTCTTAGAACACTGTTTTTTGTACATATGAAAGTATTTCTTTTTCAATAAAATTTATAGATCACTGATAAAAACACATTTTACTTGATTAGATCATCTGTAAGATTGATATATTTTGTGATATATGAAGACAATCGTGTGTGTTATTTTCAGATAAACTTACTATTTTCCTTTCACCAGGATTGCAGTACCATTGGTTTGCCCAAGCTTGAAGAGTGTACACTTGATCCTTCCGAGGACAGTGGCACATCCAAGTTACCCAACACTGTTCTGTTAATCGAAAGTGAATTACCAGTAGAAGAAGCAGAAAATAAAGACATATTTGAGGGAGTATATCTCTTTTCTCAGGTTTTTTCACCTACTGAAAAATTACAAAAGTGTATGATTTGTCCCGACAAAATTCACCTGAAAACCGTCCGTGACCTTGAGAAACATTACCGTAAGGTTCATGATCTAGCTTCCACGATCAAAAAGGCTCAGTATAATGAGAACCACGTGTTTGTATGCATGCCTTCTAATGTGAATGAAAACACTGTTTTGAAATCTAAGTGCCGCTTTTGTCAAGTTCTCCTAAGAAACGTCACTCAAGTTCAAGAACATTATTCTTCTGTGCATGGAAAAGTAGTTCGCAATATTCCAGAGTCCCAGATTTCATTTTTGGGTAGATTTTTCTACTGTAGCATGTGTTCATATCCATCATCAACCATTCTATCACACCTTGACCACATGAAAACTGTTCATAGCATGAAAACATTTGTCTGTCGTCATTGTAATTTCTGCACACCTCAGCCTTACAAGTTAAGGCTTCATGTTAGGCAGAGTCATTTTGCAACTATCATAGACTCCAAGTGTCCTGTTTGCCAGATAAATTTCAAAGGAGAATTGGTTAAACATATGAAACAGGCCCATGCTGTACAGACTGGTAAGTTTTGTTATTAGCTCTACCTATATTTTTATATCACAAGATCCAATATATCATATTTGTGTCAGGAAAGATGTTTTATTTTATTGCTGTTATTTACCATTTGCATCAAGAACTGTAAAGTTCCAAACCACACAATTTGCTTTCAGAACAATTCAGTTATGCATTTTCAATTTGTAACTGATTTTAGCTGTTTAAACAATGAAATCTTCCAAGGGAAGGCTTTGAAGAAGAAAGATTTAAACAGATTATTACAAGTTTTTGGAAAAGAACATTCTGTGTATAAAATTATAGCTGTAGTAGGAATATGCTTTTCAGAATTAAAACTGATGGTCAGTTTCTCGTTTTATCTCCGAATGTACAGTGTTGCAGTCAAATAAAACCAATCGCAACTTAAATAATAGCATTGTTAGCTGTGTGCTTATCTGAAATTCAGAAAACATAGTGGCATTACAAGAATATACGTCAGCAGTGTCAACTGGTGTTCATCACTGCTTGCGTAGACTCACATGTCAGATTCAGGGAAGAGTCTGTAAATTTAACAAGTCTATTTTATTTTGAAGTAATTCTGTATGTGATATGTTTCAAAAAACAAATTTAGGAGGAAAGTTAATACCAGAAAATATTGTATTTTGCTAAATGCATAATTATATATTTGAATGTAGGAAAGCATTTCTATCTGTCTATATGTGGTCATCAGTTATACTGGCATTATATATTATATTTACTGTGTATTATACCCTCCTTTCGGATGCATTTCGCTCCCTCAAAATGTAAAGTGTTACTTCAGAATATTGTTGCACTAGCGTCGCCCCTTATGCTGGGAAACGAGGAATTGAGCGTGGTGGATCACTTCACTTACTTGGGAAGTTGCGTGAGCTCGGAGGGAAACCTGAAGCGTGAAATAGATGCGAGAATCACGAAGGCCAGAGCAACCTTCCATGACTTGAGACATCTTTGGCATCACAAAGGGATTTTTCTTAAACTTAAGGGACGGGTGTACAGGACCACAGTAAGAGCCGTTCTTTTCTACAGCTGTGAGACCTGGACCCTTCAAGTCGAAGATCTCGAATGTCTTCAGG